AACTTATTACCCCCCACCCCAAGCCCCCATGTATTCAAATTAAAAAACGATGCTTTTGTCTCTGAAAAAAGAGGTTTCGTGAATCTTATGTAATAAAACATTTATAAAAATATTAAACATGCATAAAAAGAACTATTTTAAACTACACTTATCTACCCTACCTTTATTTGAAAACAATGATTTGTAATAAAATTCTAAATCTACAGAAATCCCCCACTAAAATTCAAATTTGCAAGATTTAAAGTATCATATTACACCAGTCCCATGAGCCGGAAGGCTGGTCCCATCATCCTAAAATGTAGTCCCTTCAGACCTGTGGGACCAATATCCCGTAACTTGTGGGACTTGGTTTGTTTACATCCCAAATTTGCTTATATGAGCCGTCCCATAAACCCGAAACTCGCATCCTCATTTATTCTTTCATTCATTCATATACATCCTCTCATTCATCCTTTCATTGATACATATACATCATCTCATTCACTCATATGCATCCTCATTCATCCTTTCATTCTTTCATAAACATTATCTTATTCATTCGTATACATCCTCTCATTCATCCTTTCATTCATTCATATACATCCTCTCATTGATCCTTTTATTCATTTATATACAGCCTCTCATTCATCCTTCCTTACATTAGATATGCAACCTTTCATTTATCCACGCGTTCAATTTTTCTTTCATGCATTCTTCCTTTCTTTCAACAATCACTAATTTATTTTATGATATGTTAATTGATTGATTGATTGATTGATTGATCCGCTGTCATCCAGGAGGAGTTTGTTTGCACCAACCAAGAGAATAAAGGATGTTGCACGAGGCCCGAGGATGAAGGAACAGGTTTGTAAACATACATTCCAAGGAAAATATATTTTTTTACTATTTCAATAGTTTCATGGTGATGCGATTAGTAATAAGTAAGGACGGATAACTTCAACATAATAAAAGTTATCCAGTAATAAAACTTTTTTTGGCGCCAAAGGTACAGGGTTACCCAATACCCATTAAGGATAAGACCCTTAAAATACGTCGATCCCAGTGTTAAATCAAGTATTCTGCCTTGAATTGTCTTTAAATAGTTTTTCAAATGATTTAGCAAAGAAAGAAAGAACTTTTAGTTGCGGGAATTAAAAATATTAAAAAAAAATTATAAATTCCGTACTGTCGTCTTCTGAAGTCTTATCCTTTGTAACCCTGTAAAATTACCAATGAATAACTGAAGGTTTTATTACTGTAGGGACATGCGCGGATATGGATCAGACCTGCGAGTGGAAATGTTCGGATTTTCCGGTCACGACTCCGGGTCCTTCACCAATCTCCGAGAAGTTCTGTATAGGAAAAGGAACAGATATGTTTATGAACGGTTTCCAGGTAGGTTTTTTAATCGTTTTGGTCCGTTTTTCAACAACTTCAATAAATCTTCCAAGATTTGAATTCTGTATTCTGTTGAAGTTTCCTTTTTTATTTGATTTAGACGATTTAAACCAGCGTCTTAACACGATTGTTTTTGTAGTTTGGGTTAGTTTTTTTTGCATATATTTCCTGTCCGGGTCAATATTTAGCTTAGTGTTAGAAAACCAAATGTTTAGAAATAACAATTTGGAAAACATTTGCTCTTTTTACACTTCAACAAATTTTATTGCGAAAGAAAATATAGACAAAATTATGTAAAAACTTAATACACATCACTATTTCCATGTAGATCTGTCAATTAGTTTAAATGAAATAATGAGAGCGTGCAGGGGCGGATTTAGGGGGGGAAGGGGGCCGGACCTTCTCACACCCCCTGAGATTTCAGAATAGCTTCTCAATAGCATTTCTAGTGGTAAACAGGAAAGTCAAAAATAAATTTCGCATTCGGCGCGTTTTTGGTTCCTAAATCTCGAATTTTTTGTTCCTAAATAAATATGGCACCCCCCTCACTTAAATCCTGTATCCGCCCCTGAGAACTTGTAATTTTTAAAGGAACCAAATTAGTTAAACCACTTTTCTTCTAAACCGATAGATTTTTTATCAACCTAAGATTTAGCTAATTAGAGATAAGTTGATTTTTGATCTCAACCTAAGATTTAGCTAATTAGAGATAAGTTGATTTCCACGAAGAGAGAATGATTTGTATAAGACGTACTCAGAGTCTCATGGGGGATTGGAATCAGTGAAATCTTCGGTGTCCAGGGTTTATTTGGACAGCAATGGGTGCTGAGACCCCCTCCCCCTCAAAATGTCCATTCCATCTAAAAAACGCCGAAATGTCTTATGTATTAGACACAGGTGAAAGTAGCACTATTGTTAGTCCTTAATGGCGTGTTATCCGCTAAAATAATAATTTTAGGTTTGCATCAACTTCTCGGAGAATGAAAAAATATTCTAAAAATTCGTTTGTTTCCAGGTGACCGGTAGCGAGAACCAACTATGTGTTATTTTGTTCTTCGAGGCGTGGGTCCTGGACAGCCAGCTCAAGTTCTTCTTCGGGTGTATCGGGGTCATTCTACTTGGTAAGTTGCATTAAAGGGGATGCTTAGAAAATTCAACTTATCTGAAATGTATTGATAATCCTGTTTTTTCGTCGTAGCAGCTTAGTGTCAAGTGTGAAGCGCATTCAGAGAATTTGTAATATCAATTTTGATTGGTTTTCTTAAATACTCATTCATTGGTACCAACTGCTGCATTGTCACATCGAATATAGAAAAATTACCCTATTTTTAGAATTCTGGAACACTCCCTTTAAAATCCTGAATATCTCTAGGAATTGGAGTTGAAGGATTGCTGTGTGTCCGTAGACTACTCCAGAGTAGGAAGATTCTACGGTTTATCTCCAGTCCTGTCCGTAGAGGTAGAACTTATCATCTTTTTGTGAAAATTCCTCAAATTTCTCCGGCAAAACACGTTTTCAATGATTTCAATTTGTGTTTTTAAATTCCTGTTTTATTTCAGGTTCCATAATTGTTCTCTTTGGATTAAACATTGCATTTGGCTACATGGCTATGCTGGTAAATATATATTTTTAAATACTCTTCATGATTATTCCGACAAAATCATCAAGAACGCATTTTTCTGCTTTCTGTTTTTCTGGATCAAAATTGCATTATTTAAAAATGTTGTAAAAAATTGCGTTTTTCTGAAATTTTTGGAAGGCGAGATTTAACTCCACAATGTTGTTTTTTAGGTTGCTATGACGTATTCTGTTGAATTGTTCCTGTGTATGGTTTTAGGATTGGTGCTTGGTCATGCTATCTTCAACACTGCCGCCCCGGTCAGTTTATTCTTCTTCTAAACAAGTATTTTTAAATTGGATCCGGATTCTTTATTTACCGGACAGACCTGGACCCGGATTCGACATAATACGGTTGCAGTAATTGCTAAATTATCCTTTTATTTGTCTTATCATTTTTACCTTAAAATTAGCAATAAAATGGAAACATTTTTAATTATTAATTATCATTTAGATCCGGATCATTTTTTGGACAGTCAAATTGCGCGAAAGAAACGAAAATGAAATTTCTAAAAAAAAGTTTCAAGCAATGAAAAATTATAAATTATTTATATCAAAATATTTTGAATTGTTTAATCCTAGGTTGGCGAGAGTGTTGATCCCTGCTGTGCATCCCAGGTAGACTAAATACATAAATAGATTAGCTAATTATAATTAAATATTAAATAAAAGATTAGTTAATAATAATTAAATATTAAATAAAAGATTAGTTAATTACAATTAAATATTAAATATAAGTTTAGTTTCATAAATGACAACAATTTTCACAGCTTTGTTATTGATTTATTAATTTTATCTAAGAAGGATTAATATAATAATTAAATATTAAATAAAAGATTAGTTAATTACAATTAAATATTAAATATAAGTTTAGTTTCATAAATGACAACAATTTTCACAGCTTTGTAGAGGAGGAAAATTGAACAGTAAACGATTTTGTTAAAACAACTTGGCATGACCAATGCCCCTCCCCCCCCCCAAAAAAAAAATAAGTTTTCCAGAAGCTGAAATTTTGCATTTTCTACTTCCGAATTGAAACCTATTTTCTTCTTTAAATAATCAGTTATATGTAAAGACTTGCACATTCTTACATGTTCAATGGATGTGAATTTTTGCAGATTTTAATTAAAGAAAATTTTATTTGTAATCGCGTTCGTTCAAAAATACAAATTAGTGTTTTTCTTTATAATTCATGTTAATATTTCAGGTTATTGGAGCATCAAATGATACAGCCTCTGATTCTTCGAACATGTAGGACATTAAGGGTGTCGTTAGAATTATACTGTTTAAAGCACATTTTCACTCAGTGCTAAAAAAATTACCAGACTTAAAAATCTTTGCTGGAAAAATCTAAATCCTTGGAATTGACGCCAAGACCTTATATACATTAAATGTTTTATGAAACATTTACAGACTTTTAAACATTGTAACATTTGCTCTAAATGTGCCATAACGTCAATAAGAGATTGATTTGCAACCGTCCATAAAAGTATTGATTGATTCATTGATTCTGATCTTAATATTTTTTATTTTATATCCATCTCTAATATTTTACAGCCTGTATAGTTCTCTTCTGTTTCGTCCTTAACTTCTATATTTGGTTTGGTTAATTCCTGGCTACGTGTGCCGTAAACAAGTTATACATTAACGACACCTATCTATTCAAATTCCCTTGCTAGGACCATTCTTAAATATAACAAATCCCCGTACACTAAACATTTTCCTTTAACCGATACATTGAAGAAAGAATAAGAAGTATTTTTGCGCATTTTTCCTCAACTTATTTTGTGATTTCTGCATTGGTGGCTCTTTGATTGAATTCTTTTAAGTAGTTCGGCCGTTTCTTTACAGATCCTTTTTAGGCCGAAAAAGTCAAAGAATTGCCACCTGGACAGGGGTGTTGAAAATTCTTGTTTTTGCGAAGAAGGTAAATTGTGCTGTCCGGGCGTATTTAGACAAATATTTGGCAAGGGCAGTTCACTTGTCTACTACTTTTTTACATAATCATTCGGGTGAAATGAATGGTGTTCATTTTTTATCATTTTCAAACATTTTTAACATCGTATTTAAGCTTCAAAAAGATCTGAGGCCTCCAATCATAGAGATAGTAAGGAGTTACCCTTTATACCTTGGGGATGGTTTATTCCCCCCCCCCCCTCCTTGAAAGGGATGTTGTGGTGTGTTCCCATCGAGATTATAGTGTATAGAGTGAGGATGTACGCTAATCCTTTACTTATTTTATAGGCCATAAACTATACCGAGAGCGTACTGCATATTTGTTTATTTTAAGTTAATTATGGCCTAACCGATAGTATATCAATATTAGTAAACAGTTGTTAGTGTACAGTACAGCTAACTGAGCACACAGGTTGAGAACTATCATCCCCCTGTGTGTTCCCTCTCATGATATTTTTTTATTTACAAAAGAAACCCTAAAACGTAAACAAAGACATCATATCTGGGACGATAGCTAAGTTTAAAGAAATTTATAATTATTTTACTTTTCATATTTCAAGGGTGTTCATTAATCTCTCTTCTTTATCTTTCACCGTTGGAGAAAGATTAAAATGTCTAATATTCACGGTATAAATGAAGTTTAACTCCTTAAATCGGATATAGGGGCGGATACAAGGGGGGGGGGTAGGACCTTCGCACCCCCCTGAGATTTCAGAATAGTTTCTCAATAGCACTTAAGGGAAAGAAAACCTAGTTTAAAATAAGTGCTAAATCTTGATGTTTTTGTTTCGAAATAATTCTCCCCCACCACTAGCACGGAACCATGTTTTGCCTTAGATTTGTTTTAAAAGTAGTAAATAATTTTTACTCTAAAGATTTAAAAAATACTTTTAAGACAAATCTAATTTTGTTGATATGGGGGGTTTAAAAATAATGCTGTAGCTTGCTGCCTGTTAACCTGTGGGTATCCAGGTCAATGTTTGCTTCCTGCAGAAAGTCTAGAACCTGTTTATGGAACTACTGGCGTACAGGTCTCCTGCGCCGAGGACTGCTGCTCCGGCGCACCCGGACAGGTTTCATTGTCCTCGGACTAGTCCTTCTCCTTGTTTCTCTCGTCTACGTCCTAAAAGGGAATATATTCATATCAGAAGTTGAAGTTTCAGAGTTTAGAATTTTTTAAATACTTAATGGGGAAGGGGGGAAGGAACTTATATTTTTCATCAGTATAGGGTTCAAGGTTTTGTAAAATTAAACGTTAGCTTTTCACGAGCAATTTAAGATGTGTGGG